GTTAGTGGTTAGTTGTCAGATGAGAGGGGGATGATACAAAGCTTGAATACGGACTCTCAAATACAAGGAGTAACCTAACCACTGAGACAACACGATGCTTACAATATCTTTTTCACATGAAGCACACGGTCCTCTCTTTATCTCTCTTTCTTTATTTTTCGAAGGCATTATACAGTTTATCCTTCTTATTATAAATTTTCATTATTATAACAACAAAATAAAGCACTGCTGAACTTTATTTTACTTTTAATACTTAAGTTACATAAAGCTAACTCAAAAAGTTCATCATCTTTTGTTTCATAGTTATGAAAGTAATGCTAGGGGTGAGCAAATAATCCGTCAATCCGGTCCGAACCAATCCGATCCGTGTGGTTCGGTTCGGTTTTCAGATCTTATGGTTCAGTGATGGTTTGAAAAATCTGCAATCCGGTGTCCGCGGTTCTGTTAACGAATTGGACTCTGAGAAATCCGATCCGAACCATTAACCGATCCGAACCGAACTGTTGCCAATCCGAACCGTTAGGAAAACCGAACCGTTAACCGTTAGTAAGTAATATATTAATATATTATATATATATACAATATAATGATATATCATTTTTTTTTTCTTTTTTTTTCTTTATTCATTATTTTTTAATGTTAACCTAACCCTAACTCAGTGTCTCAGCCTCATCTCTTCATTATGACATTTCAAGTTGCGCCTCCCTCACTAACTCAGTCAGTCAGCCTCTTCTCTTCACCCTCTTCGCCTCTCCCAATCTCTCGCCTCTGTGACTGTGAGTCTGTGATCTTTGCCTCTCCCAATCTCTCGCCTCCTAATCTCTCGTCTCTCAATCCAACACCTTTCAACCATCGTTCACCTGCTTCGAAGCAACGGAGACCTCGGTGTATCGAAGCAACGGCGACCTCTTCGACTGGATCTACCTCTTTTCCGGTGAGTTCACAAGATTGTTGAATGAATCTACTTATTCTCCTCTTCTCTGAACAGTTTTTACATGGATCTACTTAATATGTGATTGTTTGAACTTTAGATTTATATTTATCCTTTTTTTTTTTTTTTTTTTTTTTCCATTTTTTGTTTTTGGATGTCTTCTTCTGTTCTTCATGCCTTTGATTTTTAGTCACATATCTTTTTTTTTCCCATTTTTTCATCCTTTGGTCCTTGTCTCTGGATGTCTTTCTGATGCCTGATGTTTTTGGCTATTCGAGAATACTTTAGTATTTGATTGTTCTCTGTGTTATTTAGAAAAAATAATAAAAAAAATAAGGAGCCAAGAATGTTTCAAGTGTTGCAGAAAAGGAGGATTTGATCCATCTTTGATTTGGGATTTTGGGATTTTTTTCAGCTTTGGGAAATGAGTTCTTGGTTGATTTTGTTCATCTCTGTTCTTAATTTGTGAAGCTGTCAAAGTGTTACTGGGAAATCTGTCTGAGAATGACAACTATGTTTCATATATATTAATATTTGGATGAATTAAGTACTATTTGGTATGAAGTAAATTATTGTAATTTTTATTTTCTATCACCTTTTTTTCGTGGGAATTCTCTGCGTTTCACAATCAAGAAAAAATAGTAGCCATTGATTATATATGTGTTTTTAAATATGTAGAAATGTTGGACTTTGACCCACCACCTTTTTATAACTCAAATAAATCCTTTTAACTAAATGTGTAAGATTGTGATACTAAAGTATTTTCATTTGACAGAACTAATTAAACTCAATTTGTCCTTTATTTCATCCAGTTCCTTTCATCTTTCACATTTTAATATTTGACTAATACTTCTAAAGGAACTGCATCATCAAGTACTTCTGTTTCATTAGTAGATTATAATTACTTTATGGCAATCTTCCACTATTTTTTTGTAACAATTTTTTTCCTGGCAGATGACAACTGCAAAAAATTCTAATGTTCCAAGGCCTGAAGTTACTGCTGCTGGCACCAATGATGATGATTTAAACACGCAGGTATGTCCTACCAAAAAACGTTTCATATATGATGTTTGGGACTATTTCACAAAAGAGAAAGGCCCTAACTGTACTAAGTCAAAATGTAATGTGAAATGCAACTATTGTAGTGCATCTTATTCATGGTCTAGTGGAAATGGGACAAGTACATTGAAGAACCACATAAGTAGATGCCAACAATATCCATTTAATGTTGACAAGAAACAAAAACTCATTTCGTTTCAGTCAACTACTGAAGGAGAGGGTGTTATGATTTCTTAGAAATTTGATCAGGAGTTATATAGACAAGCACTTACTAAAATGATTATCATTGATGAATTACCTTTCTAGTTTGTTGAGCGTGAAGGTTTTCGTTATTTTCTTAGTGTCTTGCAGCCAAAATTCAAATTGTTGTCACGTTTTACTGTGGTTAGGGACTGTTTGAAATTGTATGCTATAGAAAAGAAGAGGTTGAAAACCTTAATGAATCAACTCAATCAAAGAATTTGTTTCACCACTGATATATGAACGTCAATTCAAAATCTTTCTTATATGTGTCTCACGGCTCATTTCATTGATAAGAATTGGACCTTACACAAAAGAATTCTGAATTTTTGTATAATACCTAGTCACAAGGGTAAGGAAATTGGTCGTGCAGTTGAGACTTGTTTGCTTGATTGGGGTATAGACAAATTGTGTACACTTACGGTTGATAATGCTAGTTCAAATGATCTTGCGGTTGCATATTTGAAAGAAAAGAAGCTTGCTAGGAATGTTGGCTCTTTCCTTTTAGGTGGTGAATGTTTTCATATGAGGTGTTGTGCACATATATTGAATTTGATTATGAAAGATGGTTTGAGTGATGTAAATGGTTCAATAGTTCGAATTCGTGAGGCTGTGAAGTATGTTAGGAGTTCTCCACAACGGGGAAAGCGTTTTCAAGTATGTGTGAAGAGGGAAAATATAACATTTAAGTCACATTTGTGCCTAGATGTTTCAACTAGATGGAATTCCACATACCTTATGTTAGAGGAGGCCGTAAAGTTTCAAAAGGCTTTTGAAAGGTTAGAAGATGATGATATTCAATTCCTACTGGAAGTTAATAATAAAGCTCCTTCTAGTACTGATTGGGAATATGCTTGAGTTTTGATTGTTTTTTTTTTAAAATTTTTATGACGCCACTAACAAGCTTTCCGGATCTTTGTATGTTACTTCCAATAGATATTTTCATGAAGTGTTGGGAATTGAAAAGTCGTTAAATACGTGGTCAAAGAGTTCCGATATTTGGTTAAGTAATATGGCCTCAAAAATGAAAATTAAATTTGACAAATATTGGGGAAGCATTGAAAAAGTAAACATGTTGGTGGTGCTTGCGGTTGTGTTGGATCCTCGTTATAAATTGGAATTTGTGGAATTTTGCTATTCCCAACTTTATTATCTTGAAATAGTTGAAAACCTTAGGAAGAAGGTAATGGATACATTCAACTGCATTTTTAGTGAATATGCAAAGTTTCATGCATTTACTTCAAGCTCTAGTGGAACAAGTAATATTGCAAATGAGGTGGGAGTTGATGATGGAAATGTAGAAGATGATTTTTCCTCTTTGTACAAGAAACACAAGATACAAAAAGAAAGTTCTACTCCTAAGTCGGAAGTGGAAAAATATTTGGAGGAAGCTTGTGAAGATGTTGTTCCAGAATTTGACATCTTGAATTGGTGGAAGGTGAACGGAAGTAGGTATAAAATACTTTCTGAAATTGCAAGAGATATTCTAGCTGTTCCAGTCTCTACTGTTGCTTCGGAGTCCGCTTTTAGCACTGGAGGTCGTGTGCTTGATCAATTCCGTAGTTCTTTAACTCCAAAGCTTGTGGAATGCTTAATTTGTAGACAAGGTTGGTTACGGGCTTCACCAATACCAATTGATGTTGAAGAAAAGTTGGACGAACTTGAACAATACGACTATGGTAAATGTTAACAATTTGTTACATTTTTATTCAATTTATAAATAAATATCATATTGTGGATTTTTAATTAAAATATGTTATTTTGTAGATGTGACTACGGTTTCAGATTCAGATTGAAAGCTAGCCTTGCTTGTTGCCATTTTCAGAGTTGTTTTGCTGCTAGTCAAGACTGTTGTTTGATGTTTTATTGTGCTATTTTTTATTTTTTTATTTTATTTATGCTAATGAGCTACTGGGTTACTATTTAAGTATTTTGTTTTGTTCTATTTGGATAATTTATATTTGGTACTGTAATATTATTTTCACTTCCGGATGATTTATAATTTTTTTTTGTTATTAGGTAATTTAAGTTTGTGGTGGTATTTATATGTGCCAAATATATTTTGAAATTTTAGTAAATCTATTGTTGTTATAATTGAATGGGCTATTATAATTGTTATAATTGAATGGCTGTTATAAATCTTGTTGCAGATTGAATACATAAATTTTGATAATGGGCTATAATTGAATGGGCTGTTTGAAAAGCCCAATCAACCCAATCCGAGAAACTGATCCGATCTGGGCCATAATTGAATGGGCTGTTTGAAAAGGCCCAATCAGCCCAATCAGCCCAATCTGGAGAACTGATCCGATCCGATCCGTTAACTCACGGATCAGTTTGGTTCGGATTGAATACCCCTACCGATCAGTTCGGCTTCAATTTTAACCAATCCGTGGAGACCGATTCGGCTTGAGATTTATCCCCAAACCGAACCGATCCGAACCGCGATCTGCCTAAATAATGCCAATCAGTCTAAAGAACATGAAAGAAGAATTACTCATTTGAGTGTCACCTAATATCTCATCATCTTACTATTAATATTGATTGACAATTTTTTTTTTTCCAATTTGGTCATATTGCTTAATTTTTCTATCATAAAAATAAATTTTGTAACTAAATATTAAAAAGGGAGGGCCAAAAACTAACCAACAAAAATCGACAGGAGGGTTTTAGAAATGGCATTACTAGTGAGTGGTGATCAAGCACTAGCGTTCTTTTCTCACCTTTTTTCCTTTCATTCGCAAACCTCGGCGTCTCGGACAGGTAGGGTGGCGCACGCTGGGAAGACAAGACCCGCGCACACACCGCCCCCCTCTCTCTCTCACACACAACACACACAGTTCCGCTCTTTCTCTCTCTACTCTCCCACGACCCTATTAAATACGGGTAGGACTGGTATTTAAAACAGCACAGCACAACTTGTCAATTTCAAATGAATACTACCTTGTCCCCGAAACCCCAAAAATTTCTAGAGCGTGAGTGAGTGATTGCTCAACCATTTTAGAGAGAGAAACAGAGATATTCTATAGTTATATAGAGAGAGAGAGAGAGTTTCTCGCTTTTTCCGTATATTGTGGAGAATTTTTTACAGTGTATGTTTTAGTGGGTGAGAGTTGTAGAGAGAGAGAGAGGGGAGTGCTGCTTGGCTGCTTGGGTCTCACTTCACCGCCTGGCATTTGTTGTGAGAGAGAAGAAACAAAAATGGTGATATAAGGGCAATTGATTCGATCCAGTCCTCTTCTCTCTCACAAGTTGCCACAAACTATGCCTTGATTCCGCCATTAACGCCTCGTTTACTTCACCACCTCAATTTCTCTCTCTATATCTATCTATTCAGATCTCTCTCTGTCACGCACATAGCACAAATTTCCTGTATATTTTCCGATTTTCTTCACGCTGTTGTCCCTCTTTCATTCTCTCAATTGCTTCGTATCGTTCTAAGTGGCTGCAATTTCTGATCGAGTTATTTGCAGGACATTGAAGATATTGAACAACACCCTACAAATCCGAAGGTATTGATCTCAGGAAATTTATGTATTTTTTTTTTTTTTTTTTTTTTTATATTTAAGCGCGGTTATACACTATCGACTGAGCCTTTTGAATTCGTTTTGTGCGATGTAACAGTAAAAAATGATTTCTTACACAAATCAATTGTATATGCTTGAATATAGGTTTCTGATGCGAACGTTCATATCTAGTTGATTCCAAACAATTTATTATGTTTTATTTTCTAAATTCACAACTTGAGTATAGATCTTCGAGGTTTTGTTAGCTTAATGTTCGTGAATGAGCTCAATTCTTGATTTTATCAATTGCAGAAACATTGAATCCTTAATTCGTTCTGTTTGTCAATTTACTGGTGAAATTCTGTTGAATTAAGGACGAAGAACCGAAGATGCTGACGTGTATTGCTTGTTCGAAGCAGCTCGGTGGTGGATCTCTTCACCAACAAGAAAATGATGACACGGTGGCAACACCAAGCTCAAAGCAAGCAATTAAAGCTCTTACTACACTGGCATGTTCACTTTGACCTCCTTTGTTCATTTGATCAGTTCTAATTTCTCAAATGAGTCTAAAGTAGGCATAAACTCTATTTTCAGATCAAGGACATTGGATTGAAGGCCTCGGGAGCATGTAAGCACTGCAAGCCATGTTCAGGATCAAATCACCAGAACAGGAACCATGCCTTCTCTGATACTGGGTCGGTGTCGGAGAGGTTCCATTGCTTGTATCATCGAAGAACAGGCAGCTCGAACTCCACCCCAAGACTATGGGGAAAAGAGATGGAGGCAAGATTGAAGGGGCTTTCGAGTGGCGAAGGCACGCCGACTTCAGTGAGTGGTCGGACAGAGTCAGTTGTGTTTGAGGAAGATGAGCCCAAGGAATGGGTTGCTCAGGTGGAGCCTGGTGTTCTAATAACGTTTGTTTCACTGCCTGATGGAGGGAATGATCTGAAGCGGATTCGATTCAGGTATTACCTTCTTCCATGATCTTGATCTAATTTTGAAGTTCTGATTTTAAGAGCAATCACATGCTTAACATAGTAGTGGTAGTCCTTGTTGTGCCATTGTTCTCTGCCTTATGGTTTTGAATTGTCAATTGATAGTTTGCTATGGATTTTTTTTTTTGTTTTTGTTTTTTTCACTGTACTGCATTCACCCAAAATCAAGGAAGTGAACCCAAGTGGGTCATGGTTGACAATTAAGCTCCTTCACCATTCAAAGGAAATCAGATCATATGGCATTACAGAGAAAGTAAAATAAGAATTGGGACCCAATATGGAGGTTATCGTTGTTATCACATTGCATTAGAGATAACTTGGTTTGATGGGAATTATCCTACCAATGGAGAAAATCTTTTTACATTACGATCGAAAAATTTACCAACTTGTGTGTTTGGTTTAATGTAAAATGGTTGAATTGTTGGATTATGGCTGCTATCTTTGGTGCGCTTCAGTGAGGTCATTTCTTCATCTCAAATGGTGAAAAGTTATTGTAAACTTGTGGTACTTCTCCCTGCAGAACCATGTTAGACACGTTAAGTTGTAGGACACTGATTGGCATATTAAGCACAGTTCAAGATGTAAAAAATAGTATGATGAACATGTCGGTGTCAGAATATCCACCATAAACTGGCTTCTTGAATCCTGAGTCAAATTCTTACTATTTGATAGAGGCCAAAGATTCCAAGGGGATTTTTCCTTTGTGGATGTATTCCTGCTTGTCAGATAGGAGTTGTTTGTATTTGGCTGGAGAGATTATGCAAAGTGTGCTGCACCGTCTGGATTGCTATTTATAAATTAAGTTAATAACATTAAATTATAAACATACAATTTCATGATTATTTGCTTTACATTGATTCATATTCTGCACCTACTGTATGAAAATGCCCAACGAGATAAGTGAAGAGCTATTTTATAATTCACTTGCGTCATCCAAAGCCTTTAATAGATTGTTTGTTTAAAAACAAATAAACATTACGATATTTTGTTTTTTTCCTTTGTGGTCAAGGGTCTTTGCTTGGTGCACTGGTAACATTCTTGGGCTGTCAAGCCTGAGAACACAGGTCTTATCCTGGGAGCAACCACTTTGTGCAATGGGACCACACTGGGTAATGACCCTTTGTATAGAGTTACACACTAAATGTGGTCCTAGAACAAGAGGAAACGAGATAGGTGCCCTGAATTGGGAACAAGCAGTGAGAGAACATTTTGCTCTTCTGTTTTTCAGTTAAGACACAGAGGTAACACCAATCAGAGGATATTATTATTATAAATCTTGTAGGATTACCAACTTAAAATAAAAGAACTAGCATGATCTGTCCTGGCCTTCCTTGTTAGTTTGCACTGAGGGTCAAGGGTAAGCATTGTACAATCAACCAGATTAATACAGAACTATTACATGGTATTTATGGCATTTGTCAACTTTTCCCTTTAATTTATCTGTCTAATAGGGGTCAGTACTTTGCATGATTGTGAAATATTACGTTGTCAAGTGCAAGTAGACACTTTGTGCATATAATGCCAAAGGTTGGGCATGTGTCCAGTCCTCTCTTCCAGCACCTTGAATTGGTAGGACTAACACTTGGTAATGGTCTTTTGATTTTTTGGTCAACGGCTGAACATTTATCTTACCCCTCCCAGGATATGTTGATGCGTTTACAAAAAGATTTGCGCCCTTATTTGTCTGCTGACTTTAAAATTATAGCATGAATCAACCAGATTAATACAAAACCATTACATGGTATGTATATTTGTCAACTTTTCCCTTTGGTTTTTTCTGTCTAATAGGGGTCAGTACTTTGCACGATTGTAAAATATTACATTGCCAAGTGCAAGTAGCCACTTCATGCATATAATTTCAAGGGTTGGGCATGTGTCCAGTCCTCTCCTCCAGCACCTTGAATTGGTAGGACTAACACTTGGTAATGGTCTTTTGATTTTTTGGTCAACGGCCGAACATTAATCTTACCCCTCCCAGGATATGTAGGTGCGTTTACAAAAAGATTTGTGCCCTTATTTGTCTGCTGACTTTAAAATTATAGCACAAATCTGCTTAGAACAGTGTCAAAACCAACAAAAGAACCAATTGCATAACCTTTACACAGTGTTCGTAAACCATTTTGGCTGGCTTAATGTTATCATGGCCGCTATAGATGTGGTCATAACACTCAAATGATCACTTTAGCCATGAATGATAGCCATGTAAATCAGTTTGATGGGTGGCTAATTTAACCTTTATCATTTTATTGCAAGTCATCTCAACTTCTGACATTTTAATCCTCCAAGTGAATATCTGCTCATTGTATCCTGATACATTCTCCATGAGATGCTTTAAATAAATGGTTCGGAGTGCTGATGATCTTTTTGTTGGTTTGCGTAGCCGTGAGATGTTTAATAAATGGCAAGCTCAAAGATGGTGGGCAGAGAACTATGACAAGCTTATGGAACTGTACAATGTTCAGAGGTTCAATCGCCAAGCAGTACCGTTGCCAACTCCGCCGAGATCTGAAGACGAGGTGAGTTATTACTCATTAGTAGCAACATATGGTGATGATGTCATGTAGTTTTACCACAGGTGGATTCATGGTGTGAATTATATAATGGTTCATTGGATGAAATCTATTTTTCTCCCAGTTGATTTGCTTGAATTTTGTTTTTACTACATGTAGAAATCTTATAATAGAATTTCAGAAAGTAATGCCTTTGTCTTTACTATCAATTGTTGTGATGACTCCAATTTGTGGACATAGTTTTGCTAAAAAAATCCTATGCAGAAAATGAAGGAAGTATTTCATTTCAGTTATGATATTCTGTGTTGACAAATATATATATTTTTCCTGTTTCAGAGCTCAAAGATTGAATCTGCTGGAGGCAGCCCTGCAACTCCACCATTGAGCCAAGAGTGTTTACCCCGAAACCTCCACCGTCCAACCAGGATGGGCTCCTCTTCATCAGATTCACTTGACCACCAGCCAATGCAATCCCGTCATTACTATGACTCCACTGGTCTTTCTTCAGCACCAAAACTCTCTGGCATCAGTGGGACAAAAACTGAGACATCTTCAATAGATGCTTCTGCAAGGTCTAGTTCGTCAAGAGAGGCAGATCAATCAGGAGAGCTGTCCATCAGCAATGCCAGCGATCTGGAGACTGAATGGATTGAACAGGACGAACCTGGAGTTTACATCACTATCAGAGCATTGCCAGGTGGTAATCGGGAGCTTAGACGCGTCCGGTTCAGGTATGTGGTTTTTACGTGGAATGTCAAAAGGAAATGAAACTGGTTATGGGGGCATATTTATCTTGCATTCCCTCACTGATACACTTTCTAGTACTGAGCTATGGGGAAACAAAAAATCTGAATAGCCTAAACGCATAACAAAGTTATAGAAGGAAAACTAGGGCTCACCAATATCACCATAGATAAACCTGTTCTGGTACTGGTGCCCCATTTTTGTACTGCACAGAAAGATAAAGATTAACACAGTCCTTTCAAGTTTCCAAGAAATGAACACTACTTGCGTTTTATTTAGTTTTGTTCTGGTGACTTGATGGTGGCACAATGTCGCATAATGGTCAAGCTATGCGGGTAAAAGTTGTGTTTCAATTTTATATATTTCTCAATGTTTATGTTGTTGATGAATTAATGTTTTTAGCTCTAAGTTGGCTTGAATTTAGGAACCACTGAGTTCATTTGAATTTAATAGGCTCCAGTTGAGTGAGTTTGAGTCTGAGTTTGACTTGGTAAGGTGGTCCCCGCCTATTACTATCCCATGTGATGCTAGACACTGGGTTTATCTTCCTTCTTTATGATTTGGACCATTGTTTCCGCAATCTTTCTTAACCCAGATATATTCACAGCTGTACAAGCTCTATATTATATTTGAGTTCTATATATTAAGCAAACAATTTGAATCTTCTGAACTTTTTCTTAACCCAGATACGTTCACAGCTTGTACAGCTGTATATTATATTTAAGTTCTATATATTATATTTAAGTTCTATATATTAATTGAACAGTTTGGATGTTTTGAGCTGAACTTGAACAAGTCTTTCCTAATGTCTGTTGCAGCCGAGAAAGATTCGGAGAAATGCACGCAAGATTGTGGTGGGAAGAGAACAGAGCTCGGATACAAGAACAATACTTGTGATTTCGTTAAGTGTGGAGGTGGGTGGCCTTGAATATTTCTTTAGAGACAGGTGTTTTAGGTGTTCTATGGGCACCCAAAATACAAAAATGGTGCTCTTGACTACTTTTTTTTATTCAACCTCTCTTTGTGAATTGAGTTACTTTTTTTTTTTTTTTTTTTGAATATTATTAATCAAAGGGGGGTGGGGGTGATAATGAAAATTGTTGGCGCTTTATGGTCTGGGGATTGGTGCAGAAGCAGATGAAAATGGGAAAAATGATTACAATAACAGATCCTAATTCATAGTAGTAGCATATCGTGTTCATCAGATTCAATCTTCTTCTTCTTCTTTTCTTTTTCTTTTTTTATTTTTTTATTTTTTATTTTTATTTTTAATATTCCCTTTCCTTGCCTTCTTTCCCTGGATTTAAGTACATAGTATATATGCCTAATTTCTTTTCTGGTTAGATTAACACACTCTTGTCAATTATGTTTGATAGGGTAAGTGCGGTGGTTGGGTCGCTCCCTCTGTCCGGGACCCTTGCACCCTCCCCCTCCCCTCTAACTACTAACTCCGAACATTCTTGCCATGCAAAGAAAAAAAAAAAAATTTGTGTTTGATATGAGAGAGTAATGTCACATGACTTTGAGACATGAGGTTTAATTCTGTCCAAATGCCTGAGAGGTCGAAGAAGATCCATGATACCAAATTTGCCAATTGGTATCATATGCTAGCACGAGTTAGGATCCATCAGATGCAAAGATATATTGTGGCAAGGAATAAGCTTGATTTGTTTTTTTAGTAATTGGACAGCTACAGTGAATAATTGTAAATTGATGAAACTGTTAAAAAGTACTAGTAATAGATATAGATTCCTGAAAATTTGATGTAGTTGGTGCAAGGTAGGGGTGCAACTTGAGCAGGCCCAATCCGAGCTCAGCACAAAATTTATTTTTTTGCGATCTGGGCTTGGGTTGAAAACTTGAAAAGTAACAATCCAATTTCAATTATGGCTGGGTTCGGATTACAGTGTTGGGCGACCCAAATCCAAACTCGATTCCGTCTTGAATTATAAAACCCGACAAACCCGAACAATGAACCAGAAAAGTAACAATCTGATTTCATTTATGGTTGAGTTGGGTTAGGCTTGAAGATTTTATATCTCCGGTTGATCCCAATTTAGGCCTTACGCAAGGTTATATATTCAATGTTTTTGTTTTGTTTGATGATAGTGATGTTGGGCCTGTATTACTGGACACATATTGTTCTGAATTCTGCAAATTAAATGTTGACATTTTACTAAAAGTTATTATTATCTTTTAAATAATTGAATCAAGTTTTTCTCAGAAGAATGATTTTATGTCAATTGTTTAACTTACAGTAACTAGTAACCAAAGTTCAAGATGGTAATTTGATGAAAGATGCAATAACCTGGTTATTATATATAACCGCGTAAGACTGATAATTGGCACATACCATGTTCATTCATAGATTAATCCCTATTAAATAAAATATTTAAGACTGATATCAGGTATGAAAAGATCATACCTAATTGTGAAATGAATAGTATCAAGTTTTTTTTTTTTTTTTCTTCGTTGAAGGGTAAAACAATTGTATAGATATTAGTAAAATGAATTGGGAGGGCCCAAGATGGCCCAGGAGGGCAAGAGCCCAACAAGAGACTAAGCTACTCAAGTAACATGATAATGAAAACTAAGCCCAGCTACAGGTCTGCCCCCAACAGTTGAATCAACTATAAACTAAAAACAATAGCCAGACATTGAGACATATGTGCTTGATAAAACTGAATATTAAGTATTAAAATTTAAAGGCTGAATTTTAAGTACTAAAGTTCTTAAGTGGTAATTAAAAAATAAATATTTTTTTGATATTTTTTAAAATTTTCATCGATGATAAGTGATGTCCTGTCACTTAAAATTTTACCCAATATTTATGTCCAAACTTTTGATTGCTGCTTAGCATCTTTTGAATATCAGATGGACATCTCTAGAAGGCAATTTTAATGTGGCTTTTTTTTTTTTTTTTTTTTTTTAACTCTGCTTGCAAAAAGTTTGGCTATGGTACATCCATCGTTCTAGCTAATTGTCCACACTTTCCAAGTGTTGTTTCAACTTATATATGCCTATATGGTTGTTCCTTAGGGCATCTCTGCTGAAGCAAAGGGTCATCACAATTTCTAGTTGATCGAGAAATTTGGGAGGTTTAGATCGAATATAAACCTAACTTTTGACATTATTATATGAAAAATGATTTAAAAGCTCACCATTTGGGTTCAAATGGTGGGCTTGTGTAGCATTATCTTATTATATAGTATTTGTTTTGACAGGTTACTTTTTGGTAAAAAAATAACTCGTATTTTCTCATTGATTGGGCTTTTTTTTTTCGTTGGATCTTCAATTTTACACATAATGAACACTTCATCGATCTCCACTGTGAATATAGACTTTACCGAATTACGTATAAATCTTTGTGTTCGTTTTTTGTGTGTGGTGTGTTTATTATTCTATCTTGTGATTGTTGCTTGAGTTTACTGCATTTGTTGTAAAAATATTTATTCAATTTATCATGACAATGTGAATAACTAAACCGAAATCTTTTGTCATAACAACCAATATTCAAGAATGTTTTGGATGAATCTGGATAGAGTGTGACACTAATATTCAACACACACTAATAATAAGGTTAAAAGGGTCACACTCATGGGTTGAATGACAAAGAAAGAAAGATGCCAAAGTAGTTTTTTAAAAAGCCTGAAATAAATGGGCTTATGTGCTCCAGATTCGTTCTAAAGATTTGGCCTCTTCTACCTTTATAAAGCAACCAATTTTTGTAACTTGTTTTTTACTAACTGAGCCCATCAGTGTGAACAAGAAGATGGTGATACATAGCTAGAGGCCAAGGTTGAGTTCTTCTTTTGTCAGAATGGAAAAGAGAGAGAGAGAGAGAGAGAAAGAGTTTGTAGTTTTGTGTGTGTGTGTGTGTTTCTTTTCTTTTCTTTGTTTGTGTTCTTTTTAAGATCGATCAGATCAGGAGGTATGTTCTCCTCCTCTTCCTAGGGATCGCCAACACACTCCTTTTCATGATTTTTAGTGCCCCCTGTCCATGCACATTCCACAAGGCCCCCCTCCTCTCTTTAGCTCAAACTAAAGCTGCCTCTGTGTGTGTGTGTGTGTTTTTGTGTGAGTGTGTTTGGTCATCTGAATTTTGTTGAGAGGTCCCACTTCAGAATTTAGTTATGGGAAAATTACATATAAATGGAGTCAAAGTTCCATATTTACTTAGAGGCGGAGTCAAAGTTCCATATTTCTCTAAAATGAATTGCTGAGGTGGCACATGGTTTTTTACTGTTTATAAATTGTGGTGCCTAAAATACCCTTCCACGAAGGTACTACTTTTTCTTCGGAGGTACTACTTTTTTGAACTGAAGGTACTACTTTTTTGCGTTCAGGTACCATATTTTTTAAACACCCGCGAAGGTACTACTTTTTCTCCGGAGGTACTACTTTTTTGAACTGAAGGTACTACTTTTTTGAACTGAAGGTACTACTTTTTTGTTAGGAAAGGGCATTTTAGGCACCACAATTTTCTAAACAGTAAAAAACCATGTGTCACCTCAGCAATCCATTTTAGAGAAATATGGAATTTTGACTCAGTCTCTAAGTAAATATGGAACTTTAATTCCATTTATATGTAATTTTCCCTTTAGTTATCCTATCAACTTTCCATGTCAATTATTTATTTTTTATTTTTTTAACATTTTTGAGCCAAGCACACTTCACCTGTAGTATCTGATTCAACTTGCCTGAGAAAATAAAGGGTCTCAACCAACCAAAGCTAGGGATTATGAGGGTTTTGAATCTTTTTATTGTTTGTCAAAGATAAAAGAAAAAAAATAAAGTAAAAATATTGTAATGTCCTATTAGAGAAGCATATGTTAATGCATTTCTTATGCTAGATTAGTGTCTGAGAATCCAATAAAATTAACATCAATCAAATAGTGATCACAAACCACCATTGATATATATATATATGTTTACTAGAACTTGGCATTTAGTTTACAGAAATTTACGTTTGTAAAGTACGAGTTAAGTACTAACATATGTGATTTAGTAGTATTTATCTATAATTCTTTCAAAGTAAAAAAATAGAGAATTCGAATCTCTTCAAAAATAGTGTGCGAGTTTTTTGCCCAAAAAAACAAGTCTGGACAAAGTAGAATAGAATTTCACGTGTCATAGTGAATTCGTAAAAAATTAACTAACTATTGATAAGACCGCACAAATTTTTATCACTATATTATGTGCAGCACAAATTGTTGATTAAGCTCTTTATCTTTATTTGTGATCCATGTCTACATGTATAATAATGAAGCACACCCTTCCCACACCTACACCCACTGTTTAGGCGAAAATTTTGAATATAATTCATATCAAAATTTAGATAAGCCACTTTTGTTGGTCAAATATTCACTCCTTCCACATTTGACCAATCTGATTCATTGTCTTTGATTAATTTGTTCCATCTCATCTTGATGTAAGATTGTCTCAGTCATCCAATTACACTATTGCGTTCATGCACACAAATTTTTGTTAGAGATACTGTGAGAAGAAGTAAAATGATTTATTTTCGAAATTTGAACGCGTCAACTGAACAACATTAGATGATAGAATTTACGTTTTCAGTCATATATTATTCAGGTGATAGTTTCAAAATTCGGATATCGAATACCTTATCATTACTCTTAACAATAAAAAAAAAACAAATAACTTGAAGATAGAGATAATTAATTTTATACAACACAAGATTCAAATTAAGCATGAAAATGACCAAAACATAGACTTGGTCTATAGGGTCTTAGTTGGAGAAGAAGGTGGGTGACCCACATATATAGGAATTGATGGTTCATATGAGGGTAGGCTGGTTCTTGAACACACAACTTGTCCCAAGTCTATGGCATAATGGACCTGTGGCATAAGGTGGAATCGTCTCTATAGGGTATTTGATCATGAATATGAATTCACTTGTAGGGTCCACTACCCCACCACTTGGGACAGGCCAATTGTGGAGTACCACATTAGGTACATTGATCCTATAAAAGCAAATAAGATTTAAGTTGTGTTGGTTAAACTATTACTTTTATGATGTGTACAACTTTGTGCACCAACACTGATCTTACAATTTTGATGATTGTCCATCATTCATATTTTGCAATTGTATTTACATGTGGACAATTTTACTAATGAACTAGATTACAAAAAAAGTTTAATTAAAAGTTTATAGCAACCTTTCCATCCTTTTAATTTTCTTTCCTTTATTCTTTTCTTCTCTTCTTTTCTTTTCATGATCAGTTTCACACCAATTCGTCGGTTAGTTTGTAAATTAACTTCTACCGTACATTGTGATAAAAGAAACAAGCAAGTTAATAATTTTTTTTTGACAAGAGTTATGATGCTGAATTCGAGAGTATGACCCATTCAATTAAAATTACGTGAATAAGAGATGATATTATCATGATAATATCTCACTCTCATATAAAACAGTTATACATCCGACTTTCAGACTACTTATTATTATTCTTTTGACAATCTTGTGCTAATTTTGGTTCCTAATTTTTTAGTTTACGGGTTTCTATAAAATCATTTCACCCTAAGATTAGTAGTCACCTTGTGCAAAAAAAAAAAATAAAAAAATAAAAAAATAAAATAAAAGAAGGAAGAAGAAGAAGAAGAAGAAGCCCTTGGAAATCACTTGTTATGTAACCCTAATATTATATGAGTTTAGTGGGGGCGGTGAAAAATCATTCTGAACCTTATACTTTTGTTTTAGTATGAAATTTCATTAATGATTTTGTAAACGTAATCTAAATTTTAAGTGAAACATGTATTTATGTGTGTTCTTAATTACTTTTTTTTAGTTGGTACCACACACACACACATGCCTCATGTTTGAACCCTTAACCTCACCTCTGTTTGAAAAGTAATCAATGCCTTTGGACTTTAGCTAATTGAATCAATTCCATTGAACATACTACTGAGATGTGTCAAGTCTAATGGGGATATATGGTGGAGACTTGAGTCCACATCCACCAAGAGAAGATGATCAACTCCTACATTCTTAGGTGGGATGATGGCAGTGTGAAATTTGTGGAAAAGCCCTTTTCTTGGTTATGGCACATCAATGCATATCTAGTTGCCCCTCTGGGTCCCCAAATTAGTCATTCCATGATCTGAATGGAATCTATATCTTCTTTCAAATTGTCTTCAATCAAACAAATCTTTCCATTTTATCTTCATTAATTCTCTCTCTTTCTATACTACTTGTGTGTTTATGAAGGGAAAATCAAGGAAAGAGAGAAGAATGTGCATGTGAGGAAAAGGGAAGAGAACAGAAGAGACGTATTCACGCATTGCTTTTGTTTTAGCACTTTGTCTAGTTTAATATCTCATTTAATTTTTAGTACAATCTCACTTTTCTCTTTCTTCATATATATATATACACATTAATTCCTTCCTTCTATTCCTTTCTTTACTCGAATCAAATCTTATTTGCTTTGTTCTTTAATTTAGTTAATTCTTTTATACTTATCTCCAATCTCTCTCTCTCTCTCTATAAAGGTTGAGAATCCACGAGGGCAATCATTATGCATATAAGCACCACCCACTAAGTAAAGCTTTTTTCTCTCTCAATCTCTATCAAGCACACACATGCACATACAAAAGGTGGAAATATATGTGCATCCTTGGCCACGCTTTCTTCGGTGCCTTAGCAAGTCATAATTAATATTTCATATCTAGTTAATCTAGTGTGAGAGATAAGGTGTTATCTCTAATTGATTCAATGTTTTACACGCATCATGAGTATGAATATGAATATGACAAGACGTTCAAATTCAATCCAACAGTTGGTTAAAAGATGAAATATATATAAGAAAAGTTATTCATTTGTGTAAGATTAATTTAGACCTTTATATCTTATTACGCTTGTACAAAGTGATTGTTCTTACACTCAAACTTACACAAGGTTGCAAATAAAAGAACAGTTCAAAATCGACTTATTTAAAGTTTGGGTCGGATCAACTTCGAACTTGATTCTTAACCTTGCATTTAAGAGATCATGTTCCATCAATAATGTCATGCACGATGGAAGACAACAATGCGTTAATCACAATATGTTGTAAGAGCTTGTTAGTTTTGATGGGAAATGAGAGAAAAAGAAAGAGACTGATTTGGAGAAAAACCTTATTCCGTGTTTTTTCTCAAAAAAGGGAGGAGAAATGGAAGGATTTAAAGAGAGAAGCAAGCACTCACTAACTCTTTGCACAATGATTTTCTTGCATGTCCTTCCAAAGAATTGTAGGAGAACGACTGGAGAATTATTAATACTTATTTTTTTTAGCCCCTTTTATATAATAAGTGAATTGTAGTACTGCACTTATTACTCACAAAATAAAACAATACTCCTCATTGTCTATTCCAAACACGATGCTAGGTTCACAAACATATATTTTTTTTGTTTTGTTTTTAGTTTCTTTTACTAATCAACTCACGTCCACCTTTTATCGGCTCCGCCTTATTGACTGAATCTACAAATTGAAAGAAAATTTATAGATAATTGCTCAAAATCAAGCTTTTTTAAAAAATTTTGTAAAAATAAAGTAAGAAACTTAATTGTTAGAAATTACTAAATGCCAAAAAAGAATAAAATCCAAATCCGTTTAGACTTCCAAAGAAAATTCTAAAATATTCAAAATTAAAAAAAACGCAATTTTCAAATCATAAACGATTGAATTCGACCAAAAAATGCCCTACCTCAGCAACAAAGCTGTTAATTTTTGAGATCAAGTTAGGTTGTTTATGACCATAACTCATTAAAAATATCCCCAAAAAAATTAATTTCACCTAAACGTTTGACCTTTTGACGATCCAAACAAATTCTAAACTTATCAACAACCTGTTTTACATCAGAGTTTTTGACAGAAGTTTGCTCAAATCATTTAAAAAGCTATATATTTATTTAGAGTTAATAATACTGACACCGCCTGGGATTTCGAATTACACTCAAATGCAAGTCAATGCTTTTTTGACAGTGACAACCCTAATTTCGGGTTTTAAAATTTTGCATCCACACCCAACTTATAAAAAGACTTAAATGTCTTTGACTAGTTAACAATTACTTTTGATAATGAAATGACTTGATTGCCCTTTTCTAACTAGTTTTAAGGACCAAATTGACCCATTATTTACCACTTCATGCTATCATCTATCATCAGTATCAAAGTTTGGCCTTGTCTTCACCGCCACAAGTACTTCGAGTTCCACCGGGCGTGCTTCTTTATGCTACCTCATGGAGCTCGAATAGTTAAAGCTAGTAATTGCTCTGCCCGTTACTGATGTCGCTGCTTAGGATGTCCCCGAATCCATCGTCACAAAAGATATATACTCTTTTCATACCAAAATACTTGTCCATCTTTTCATTTTGAGATGTTCCAAAAAATATGTCCTATTCTAAAATTAAATATACTATTTTTTATAACATTTCCAAACTATCTTTATTACTAAACAACTGTAGCACTATTTTGTCTTTTAACAAATACATATTAGAAACTTTACTTTTATCAATACAATAAAAAATTATTAAAATTCCACTACTATAAAAAGTTAGATTTCCCATACAGAACATGTATATTTTGGGATAGAGGGAATAATATAGAGCAAAGCCTTGCTCGTGTGTATATATATATATATATATATATGAATTGGGGGATTAAGACATACTGAAATTCTTTTGTTGTCAAGGTAATTTTTGTCAATTCCATTGTTGATATTTTGTAAATTGAATTAATAATTCAAGGACATTTATGTCATTTGAAAGCTGATTGTCCAAAATTACTTTTTATAGTTCGGGGTTTTATATAATTTGGGTTTTATAGTTTCTTCCCCATGCCAACCGGAGTCCATTGCATATTTATTTAAACTTTTAAAACACACATATTACAAGTATAAGCTTGCACTGTCAGCCTAGCAGGTAAGGCTTTTGGTGTCGTCTCTCTGAGTCTCGATTCGGGCAATTACATGTATTCAAATTTTGCAAACCACTGCAGCATCCAAAATGGCTAGTGAAAACTAGAAAATCCAATAAATTAGATTAAAAAAAAAAAAAAAACATCATTGTAGGATCAAAATAAATTTTGGAGAAATTGTCTCCAGAAATGAAGGGAATCCACGGCAATTTTTCGAACTGTTCAGTCACTCTGTTTAAATAAAAACCATTCCTTAATCCTGAATCCTCCTCTCTCATACTTGTGGTCCAAACTTTATACAACAAATTACCCTTCAAATTTTTATAAACTCAATCGTATATTACAAATTTGTTAAGACATTTGTTTAGAGAATGTAAAATAAGTTGTGTTTAACTGGTATATCAAAAGCAAACAGAATCAATTAAAGCAATTAATGACCACATCATTATTGCCAACCTGGCAGTGCCTCCAGTTTGGAAGAGGGTTTGGGCCCTTAAAAGGCAAGTGAATGAGAGTCACAGTATTCATTCTCCTCTTCTCTCTCTCTCTCTCCCTCCTCCCTCACTCTCCAAGCGTGGCCTCTGCCTCTCATTACTCTCTCTCTCGCTCTAAACATTTCTCTCTCTAAAACCCTCCATCTGTATATCTAGCTAGACCATCAAAAAACACAAATCAGTTACAGTGTCTCTTTTGTTCCCTTCTCATTTCCTCTCACTCATAGCCAAAAAACAACAAGGTTTCTGTCCTTGGAATGTCTGAAATTGTTCTTCTACCTCCTATAGTATCACTCCCTCTCTTTTGCAGCTTTTGACACTCTCAAACCAGACAATTACAAAAGAGAAACAGTTTTTATCATCTTTGAACCTTCTTCTTTTGTGTTTCTCAAGCTATATACTTCACTACTTGTCCTGAATTTCCATCATATGAAATATTCATCAAGCATAAATCAAGAAATGGAGAGGTGGGATCGATATCGGTGTCGGCGAGAACCAGAAAACCCTAACCCATCTTTCTCCTCCACTCTTCTCGACGCCATCTACCGTTCCATCGACGAAGATGGTGAGAGAGAAGAAGAAGTCGTGTTTTACAGAGAAACCACGAGAAAGAAACACAGCAACTGCGCTTTCAAGGCCGACACTGCTATGGATGAAGACATGGCAAGTCTCCAACGAGCCTGCATGATCGAGAAGTGGATGGACAAGAAGAAGGTGAGTGAGAAGCTCGTCCTCCGCCGGAATTCAGCTCCGGAATTCGAGAGAAAACGGAGAGACCACCACGGTGGTGGTCGTGGCGAGTCCTGGTTCCTGAACTCGAGCTCTAGCTCTTCTGATTCGAGTTCCGGAGGAGGGTTCTCTTCCTCCGAAGCTGAATCCGTTTATGGACATCCGGCTAGGTCATCCGCCGGTGGTGGTGTCGCCCACCGGCTGAGCCCTATCCGTACTAGTAGCTCAGCTCATCAACATGAAAAGTACTCAACAGTGACAAAACCTGAAAGCGGTTTCAAGTGCTCCAAGAAATCAAAATCCTTAAAGAATATATATGGAGATCTCAAGAAAGTAAAGCAACCGGTCTCACCCGGTGCTCGTCTCTCCAGCTTTCTCAACTCTATATTCAGTGCCGGAAATGCAAAGAAAGCAAAGGTTTCATCATCTTCCTCATCGTCGCCGGAGATAAAATACTCCAATTCTGCTCATTCCTCAACATGCTCATCAGCTACTTCATTTTCGAGGTCCTGTCTCAGCAAAACACCCTCTTCTAGAGGAACACTGAGCAATGGCACGAAAAGGTCTGTTAGGTTTTATCCTATTAGTGTGATAGTTGATGAAGATTGTCAACCATGTGGACACAAGTCTTTGTATGAAGATGAACCGAGTTTGGAGAAGATTAAAGATATCAGAAACTCCATCAATGAAGAGCTTCAGCTCCATATAATGGAGAAGCACAGGCGAGTCGAGGAGGCTGCGAGAGAGCTACTGAGGAATTATCAGAAGAAGGTCGAGTGTGAGTTTGATATGAGAGGTGGTGTCTGCAACAAGAAGAACAACAATGAAGTGTTCGATGATGATTACGACGACGATGACGGTGCAAGCTGTGCGAGCTCGGATCTTTTTGAGCTCGATAATCTCTCTGTGATCGGAATTGATGGGTATAGTGAAGAATTGCCAGTGTATGAAACAACCCATCTCGATACTAATCGAGCCATTGCTAATGGCTTACTTGTGTAATTCAAAAAATAGAGATGGTGATGTTTTTTTTTAGTTATTGGTTTGGGGTTTACTTCAAGAGAAATAAAAGTTATCATTTCTCTACTAATTCTTGGTTCTATAATTTCTGTACCCTTAATTTTGTATATTTGTGTGTGTTATTGTTGACGCGTTATTGTTTGATATAATGGTAAAAATTTAAATTTGTAAAAGTAATCATATGTATTTAAATTTGTACAAATAATGTCAAAAGTTAGATTCTTGTTGTTGGGATAATGTTATTTTGTTTAATTATAGTGAAAATTTGATTTGACAATTGTGAAAATAAGAGTTTGAATTTGTGTAATTAATGTCAAAAGTTAAGCTCCTCTCATGTCATGGTCTGTGTGTCATATAATGTAATGAAATACTAGAGATAGATTTTGAAGATCAATGAGGAGGCTAAAGGAAGAGGTTATGGTGTGATGATTGAGGAGTGAGAAAGTAGAGAGAGTTAGAGAGAGAGAGTGAGTAAAGATGAAGAAACTGAAGATTCTGAGACCGCGTTCACACGGGAAGATGATGAGATGAAAGCAAAAATGAGAGGCAGATCTTCCTCTCTCTCCCTTTCATTTATTGAGAAGGGTAGCTTTTTCTTGCTTTGTGGAGCCCTCTTTTGCTTCAACTTGGCCCTTGAGTCCCCATAAATATCCCTCAAAAAGCCTTAGAGCTTAATCAGTCAAAAAGTGGTTCTGCTAAATGTTATTCCAATCCGTTGGGGGATTTTAAATCACTTCCATGTTTATGATATATATATATATATATATATATATATGCTGCACACTAGAAATATTTGGCCGACATTCCATAATTCACTGCTACGTACATGCAGTCTTCCCGTCTTATAAGCACGAATATATATATATATTTTGAAAGTGGTCCTTAGGAATTTTGAACTCCCGATGATCAGAATTTGAGGTAAGAATCATGTTATTAGATTATCTTCTGCGTGTTAAATTAATTTTGCTCGTGATGCACATTTTGATAATAAGACATTTTCTCTCTCTCTCTCTATATATATATATGTATGTATCTATATATATTGGCATGTTTAGTGAAGATTAAAATTGGGATTAGGAAGGGAAAAGGGAAGATCAAGGATGGATGCTGGTCTCCAAAAGATAAGGACAGAAGATCTATTGTTAGATTTTTGTTTGGTGGAGGAATTAGTCATTAGTGGTAACTTGGAAGGGGACATAATGACCTAATTTAATAAAATTTGAATCTCATTTAGGATGTTGATGTCAAATTGGGTGGGCTTCTCAGGGTACGGTACAAAAGCAAAATTTTAACTTTTTACAAATTTGCCAACATTGTGTCTGATTATGTTGCTTTTTGAACCAAATCAACATGAAAGCAAGCTACATTACCTTTCGAATTTAAGACTCTTTGTTTTGTTTTTTTGTGGGAAATGATTTAAGACTCTCTGTTTTGTTTTATGCATTGAAGATAGAATTTTCAATGTAAAAATAAAAGATTCAAAAACAAAAATTGAAATGTAATGATCAATTTATAAAAAAAAATATCAAATGAGAACTCTACGTACCCGATCTACACATTTAATATTTTTTCGAGTACATAATCGCATTGAAAAGGAGTTGCAATATTATTATTTTTCGTATCTTTTACTCAAAGTCTAGTCTTCACTTTATTTTGTTCTTCTCTATTATTAAATTTTTGATGAATATTTTTGAGTGACATGCATGTTTTTTACAATTGTCAAGGTCTCAGTCATAAACATTTTTGAAGGTTACAGTTTTTGGTAGGGTTCTATAAATCCAAGAGCAAACTGATGATGGAATAACGAATTAATCTTTCCATTTCCAATTGAATTCCAAAGTTTTATAGGCTTAGAGAAGCTTGAGAGAGGACCACTAAATCATAACAGTGTGATTATGCTAATAAAGTTATCATATCATATTCTTACGTACTCATATATTTTATTAAAAAAGATTTAATTTATGAAGTTTGAAGCATAGAAAAAGAAAAGAATATGCTATGGTCATAAGTGTTATAGGCTTAGAATGGTCTATGGAACCTAGTAGGTCAGTTCACAACCATATATATATATTATATGATATATATATTAAAGTGTATAATACACATATAAATTTTATTTGGTCATGCACGCCTGGTAAATGGGACCTATAGCGTGCTGGGCCTCCCTTCCTTCAATTTCACACGACCAGTACTTGATGGTTATGGTGCTAAGAGGGAAAGAAAAATGCTTTACGAAATAGTATAAATTAAAATCTAAAATAACTTTACATGACAGGTCTTGAATCAAGTTAGATTTTGATGGACAATTGATAGATTTATTTGTACTATTCTACATAAAATTCTGTTTTTTTATTTTATTTTTAATGTGATTAGACAACCTTGACATATCTTGAATCAAGTTAGATTTTATGGGCAATGGATTAATATATTTGTACCATTATGCATAAAGTTATTATTATTATTATTATTTATTTATTCTTTAAAAAACACTCCAATGTGACTAAACAACCTAATGTGTTGAATAAGATGAATTTTGTTTTGTAAACGTGACATGAATAGTCACAAAAAGTGTGATGGTTCTTAATATTTTCATAGCATGATTATTATTTTCCATCTAAAATTTTATAAAGATTTAATCAAAATTTATATTGACAACATCTAGAATGCACTGGATGGTATGAACTTTCCTTTCAAAGAGGAGGTTAAGTGTTCGAGTTGTTAGAAGTAATATTGTTAGTGTCTACCCTTCAAAATTTTCAAAAAGAGAAGAAAATAAAGTATTGCAACAAGGCAATTTTTGATGTGTCCAAGATGTATTGGGGTTAGATGATATTAATTGTTTCTCTTAAAGATTATATATATAATTAGAGAATCCAAATAGCATGCTAATTGATCAAAAGAATACTTAATTTGTTTTAATTGTAGTTCAATTAAACTCTAAATATTTGAGTATATTTATTTATTTATTACAATATATTAATTGTATTGATTAGTTGGTAAAGTGGGGAACTTATAAGAATGATGAGAATAATATATATGTGATGGTGGGCGTGAGACGACCTAGCCATTGAATGGGGTTGACTATTGTGTCCTTCAACATATCCTTAATGATCATGACAATATATAATCTTTCCCTTAATATAATGTTTACATGCACTTAGCATGGTGTCTTGTAAGCAATCATGCAGCTTAATTAAGGGCAAAAAGAAACATAATAAATAAGCAATTGGCTAGTTTGAAGAAGAGGAAACAAATATCATAAAACGCTGCAAGTTTAGTACTTGCTTAATTGCATCAAGTAATGATCTATTTTAATAACTACTACATAAAAAAAAAAATCATTAGGAACTTTTAGTTTTTTTTTGTTTTTAATTTTCCTGTTTCATATATTGGCGGCCTTTTATTACCATTAGCCTAGAGCTAAATCCGATCCAATTTGGTCTTGACCAAATGCCACACAATCAAGAATCTCAACAGAAAAATAAGTAACTTGTAAAATTTTACGTGATTCGATGTAAGTCTACATTTACGGTGAAGATACGATGAAAGATTTTACCATACCAAAATCCGGACTCTCCCTCGTTCTCTTTCACATCTCACTCCAAATCGTACTTACATGCTTGCCTACAATAAAGTCCTGAACAATGGTCAAGACGAACTAACGAAAGACGGTTTTAACCGAAACCAACTTTATTTTTCGAGTCATCTCAACCCGAGTAGAAACAAAATTCGGAGCAGAACGTCACAATACTCTGTTCATATCCTTCACAACATTTCTGATTAACAAGTTATCATCTTCCTATGTACCTTTTGGAAAAAAAAAAAAAATTTGTTTTATCTATGGCTGGATCAAAATATATCTAGAATAAATGTGTCCCGATTGATATGACCCAAGACCAAAAACTCATGGATGACAATTGTTAGTTGCACCCATCAATAACTCACATAATTAACACAATTTCCTAATTGAAAATGAGTTGTTACGATCATGGCTTATATCATACACATATTTTGTGGGCAAGGCTTGGGTAGACATGTTACATACCAACCATGCACAAGTCACTGGCACACGTAGCGTATAGCCAAGGGTTCAACCCACTAAACCAAATGTAGGACCCGGTTCTACTGAGGTCAAGTCTATACCACAAATGGGTCGATAGTTGGTTTAATCTTCTTTCTCAATTGTCCTTTTAAAAGGGCACATGTCGGGTCACACACAGTGCAATGATCTATGTTACAGAGCTATCTGTCTCGAAACATGAGAGACCACTAATCTATGTTCTGGAGTTATCTGTCTCTAAACATGAGAGACCACAACCTCACTCACACACACACACATATTATATATGATGTATCTATCTCCAAGTGTTCTCATTAATCTTCTTTTTTCTTCTTCTTCGTTCCTCTCTTCGGGTTGATTTTGACAATTGATATGTGAATGTAAAAACATATCCCGCTCGAGTTGTCATGCTCTGATTTCCATGGTTGTCATTTTTGGCTTTTAATTGAATCAATGAGAACTATACATATATATATATATATATAAACTAGAATTGATTTTTTGCCCAAAGATCATATATATCATTTATAATATAGAAGGAGCTTACAGTTGTTATGGTAATACTGTGTATGCGTTGTATATGATGAGGCACTGATCTAAAAGATCAAATTGTTCACGAAAACAATAGAAAAAGGCAAATGTTGGAAGCTTCACTTACAAGGCAAATTATTTCTCTTCCTCCTAACTTATCATGAAGCATATATTTGAAAAGGGGTAAAGAATAAAAAAATAAAAATTACTTAAGTACACTTTATAATCCCCAAAGAACTCAAATAACATAATCTTTTCAACCAATAATAGGCTTTCTTATATATCATGGGTCATTAGCTCAACTCATATAATCTCTCCTCTTCTGCAAGGTTCGAGTTTCATAGTGAGCATTTGTGTGTGTGAGTACCAGAGATGTTTGTGTAGGTCCTTAACCACCGTGTGCTATTTAGGTTGAAATTGGATCTTATGCTCTACATCTTTTTGTGTTGTAAACGTGTAATATACAATTGAATTGACGA